GATATCCCGGGGTTGGACCAGAGCGTGGCCGTTCACAAGCTAGAGATCGACCCAACGGTGAAGTCGATCCAGCAAAAGAGAAGACGCCTCTCGGTGGAACGAAGGAAATTCGTGAAGAAGGAGGTAGCTATGCTCTTGACTATCAAACACACCAAGGAAGTATTATACCTAGAATGGTTGGTGAACATGGTCCTGGCACCGAAGCCCCCAACTTGGAGAATGTGTGTCGATTCCACAGACCTCAATAGAGCATGCCTGATGGACCCCTTTCCTCTACCTAACATCGATCAGCTAGTTGACGGGACAGCCGGGTGCAAACTCCTTAGCTTCATGGACGCATTCTGAGCGTATCATCAGATATTCATGCATGAAGATGATGCAAATAAGACATCGTTCATCACCCCAGAAGGTATCTTTTGCTATTTGGTTATGGCTTTCGATTTGAAGAACTCCGCGGCGACGTACACGAGAATGGTCGTCAAGGTGTTCCGAACGGTGCTAGGGAGGAACATGGAAGCATACGTAGACGATATGATCGTGTAAAGCGTATGAGAAATTGACCATGCCGACGACTTAACCAAAATTTTTGGGATCATGAAGGCAGTCTGGCTGCGTCTGAATCCAAAGAAGTGCACCTTTGTTATCCAAGGTGGAAATATTTTGGGGTGCATGGTCACCCGGAGAGAGATAGAGCCAATCCCCGGGAAGGTGAGAGCAATCCTTGACATGGAAGCCCCAAGGTTGGTGAAGGAAGTGCAAGTTCTCATTGGACGGCTCTTGGGCTTTTCATGTCGAAATCGGCAGAGAAGTCCTTACCCTTTTATTCAGGTTCTGAAGAAGCAAAATGGATTCACATGGACGGATGAGTGCAGCAAGCATTCTATGACTTGAGGAAGTATCTCCTCTCCGTACCACTACTAAGCAAGCCGAAGAAGGGGGAAACACTGACTGTATTTGGGATTATCGCAGGGCGCGATCAGCTCCGTGCTGGTCCACGAGGAAGGTGGAATTCAGAACCCCGTGTACTATATAAGTAAAACCTTACAAAACGCAGAGCTGCGGTACACCCCGCTCAAGAAGACCATTTATGTCGCCTACGGCATGACGAAGAAATTGACTCATTACTTTCAAGCACACCCGATCAGGATCCTATCTGATCAACCCCTGGGCGCAGTGTTGAGAACCCCAGAGAAGACGCGGGTCGTGAAGTGGTTGATACTTCTCAATAGGTATGAGGTGGATTTTCAGCCCCGATCATCCATTAAAGGGCAGGCGCTTGCGGATTTCATTGTGGAGTGCACGACAAGGAAAGTCACGGAGAAACATAGAGATGGTGAAGAACAGTAGTGGACCCTGGCGACCGATGGATCATCCAGAACGAGAGGTAGCTGGGGTGGGATTGTCTTGATCTCGTCTGAAGGGTTTCGAGCGTACTACGCTTACAGTTACCTGTTCAAAGTGTCAAATAATGAGGTAGAGTATAAACCCTGTTGTCGGGCTACGACTAGCTGCGACCATATGGGCAGAGTGGATAACGGTAAAGTGTGACTCTCAGCTAGTCGTATCCCAAGTGAAGGGCGATTTCGAAGCAAGAAGAAAGGATGGCGAAGTACGGGGATGCTATTCGGGAATTGCTCGGACTGTTCAAGCAAACAGAGCTGGTTTGCATCCTGCGGAGTCAAAACAGAGACGCTGACCTCCTATCCCGTCTGTCTCAAGGAATACCCGAGCACATCTATAAGATTGCGCGGGTCGAAGAGATGACGACCTTAAGCATAACGGCTTCACCCTCGGTAACTATCCTTCCTCTACAACAAGTAACGTGGAGTTGGGTGACAATGTGCTATATTACATAGTTGACGAAGCGAAGCTTGTCCGGCGACGGGCTCTGATAAGTCCGTATTTAGACACGCATTTGATGCGTGTTCGGGTCGGATTTTGATGATTTTCCTGGCTTTAAGGCGTTGCAAGTCTCAATTTTGGCTCAAGTTGTGTTTAGCAGGCGTTGTATCGAGTTTCATTGCATTTGAAGTTGATTTGAAGAAGTTAGAGTCCGGCAATCGGCACTTGAGAGGCATTCGGGAAGGATTTGAAGGCATTCGAGAAAGATTTGGAGGCCACCGGGAGATTCACGACGAAATTCTGGTGAAGAAAGAGCATTTGGATCGACCTCGTAGGCATTCGGGAGCATGCGGAACAAGAAACGAAGAAAAACGATGAAGAAAAGGTCAGGCACGACCGTGCCTAGGGCAGGCACGATCGTGCCTGCATTCAGAATTGACTCGGAGCTACTGGCAGCCAGACACGATCGTGTCCGGTGCAGGCACGATCGTGTCTGCATCTTTTAAACGCGATTGCTCCGCAGGCACGATCCCAGGCACGATCGTGCCTGGCATCGTGTCTGGCCCCGTTTTGTCCTAAATCAGCTCAACTTCTCCTGTTTTCTATAAATAAGGCCTCCATACTCACTTTTGAGGGTTACGAACTTTGGAGAGAGGCCTAGGGACGAGTTTTACCTGCGTTTTTACGTTGTTTAATCCAAGAACCTGGGATTCTTTGTAAGTTCAATTCTTTAATTAATGACAATTATTTCTATTCATCCCAATTCTTTTGATTCGTCAATTATGAGGCGTGAGTAGTTTAATTAGGGATTTGGGGTTGATGAAGGGGTTAATCATGATGTATGGCTAGATTCTTTTCAGTTTAATTGCATGAAGGCCGTTTAATTTGTGTATGAATAATTTAACTGATATCTCTTGTAACCTAGATGGCCACTAGAATTACAATTGCTTATAGAATAAATTAAGAGAGATCTAATTTGTTCTAGGACACATTCACACACACTTAATCGTTCGCTAAGAGATTAGTAGCGATTAAGGGGCCGTAAGCTCGCTCGTTTTGGCAATAATTTAGGATCTTGTCGCATGAGAGATCAGCCTGGACCCCTAAATTATTGTACTCTACGCCGCGAGAGCGGTAAGAACTTAGTAATGATTAGCTAGGCTCAATTAAATTAAATTCATGTGATTAGGCCTGCTCTGCCAGAAATCTGGTTAACCCCGGAATCAATTCCTGTTCCCTTTGTCATTAATTAAGGAAAACCAAATCTTTTTATTCGCTCATTAGCATTAGTTTTAATTTAATCAATCAACCAATCTCGCACAATTGCACTTTTATTTTATTTATTTCTTTTTAATCGCTGAAGTTTAGTTAATCTTTATTTCCCTTTTGTCCGTCCCTGTGGAGACGATACTCGTACTTACACCACTATATTACGATCTATTTTAAGTGCGAGAAAACTCACATCAGGCTCCGAGCTATGTCTCTCTGGACGGTAAGCTGTACAAGTGGTCTTACAGCGGAACATTGTTGAAGTGTCTATGACCACACGAGGCCGAGATAATTGTCGCGGAACTCCATGGTGGTGTGTGTTCGGCCCATCAAGGAGCATGCATCTTGGTTGGGAAGGTTGTCCTCCAAGGATACTTCTGGCCCACAATCATGAAGGATTGCGCCGATTACGCAAGGAAGTGCGATACCTGCCAAAAATTTCAGAGGAGCCCTGGAAGGCCGGCAACGATGTACACGCCTATTAGCACGACTCTACTGTTTACCCAGTGGGGTATAGACTTGGTTGGTCCCTTACCAAACGGGTCAGGAAATAGAAAGTTTGTCATAGTGGCCGTGGATTACTTCACAAAATGGGTAGAGGCGGAGCCGCTCGTCAGCATAACACATCTGTAGTGCAAGAAGTTTATATGGAAGAATATCTTCTGTTGCTTCAGAGTTCCCGTGCAAATTATCTCCGATAATGGAAGACAGTTCGATTGCAAACCATTGAAGCAGTTCTCCGCCGAGTGGGGCGTGGAGTCGAGCCGGGTGTCCGTTTGTTATCCCCAGACAAACGGGCAAGTGGAAAATACCAATCGCACGATCATAGATGGCCTCCAGAAGAACTTGAAAGCCCTTGGGACCGTGTGGGTTGAAGAGCTAAGTAACGTGTTATGGACATTCCGGACCACTCCCAGGAAGGCGACAAGCAAAACTCCTTTCGCTCTGTGCTATGACTTTGAGGCAAGGGCTCACTTCAAGGCAGTGATTCCAAGGCAAGGGCTCTGTGTTATGACATTCCAGACCACTCCAAATTCTAAGAGGATTTTTAAAATAAAAGATCAAATACTACAGTGGGAGCATCTAAGAAAAGTCTGTAACTTTTTTGCATTAATTAGTTTCAATAGATTGTATATCAATCAGAACTAGAACTAAATGAAACATTTAATTTTTTATCAAACAAGTACTATATTTTTCTCTTAAGATCTTTTTTTTTTGAAGGGAAACTAGTTAACTATTTTTAATAAAATCAAAGCCCAATGAAGTTTTAATACAAGAAGGGAAATTATAAATCCACACATAGCAATCAGACAAAGAAACAGTTATCTGGAGCTACTCGATTCGCAAATTGGTCACATGAGAGAAAGTAATGCTAGCAAAACTAGATGCAATTTCTCTAATATCATCAATAACCAAACCCATAGTCGAATCAATGCCTTCATGAGAATGCTTTTAATAATCTGAAGAGCATCAGACTCGACATCAATATAATCCCAGCCTTATTGTTTGTAATATCTTTTTAATAACTAAAAGTTAACCGTTACTAAAAACTAATGAAAATGTATTTTCTGACAGGTTCAATGCACCACAGCCCTTCGTGATTTGAAAAATGCGTCAAACCCCTTGTGTTTTAATTAATCATGCACAGAACTCCTTTTATGAATAAATTTAACGATTTGAAATCACTTTTCCTAATATTCTGATTGAATATGAAAGTAAATATGTCAAAATTTCTAAATCATATAAAAATGTTAATCATTTTCTTTTATTTGACAATTTAGTTTGTTCATACTAGTAGAAGAGATTTTGCGCATAATTTAGTTTGTTCATATGTGATGCATTAAACCCATTTTCTGACGGTTGTAAGGCTGTACTTCGTAGTTGATTAGTTGAAGACGAGTGCTACGTGTCATTAATAGTCTTGTCCCGTACTTCGTCGCACTCCGTCCGTGTACCAGAGTGAAATGGCGCCAACGATGGAGACGCGATAAGCAACTGCCTTTAAGCCCTCTCATCGACATGTTATTACACAGAAGATTGCATTACTGTAACTGTAAGCAAACCACCTCTTTCACTTCCAACCTTCCGTTAGCGGAGCTGCACTTTGCTCGTCTCATCCCCGCAAACACACAGCAGCTACCCAAAGAACAGGCGTCCAGGTTGCAAACCCGCTATAATAAATGCGATCTTACAGCAAGCAAATTTAGTGCTCCCAATTGGGTTGAAACGAGTAGGGCTTTACCCGAAACGCATGCTTCTTTTTCGCCCTTGTTTTCTGGGATGTACGGGTTTCTGGTTGAGAAATACCGCTTCTCGAGTCCTGAAAACGACGCAAAACATCTCCATTTGGAAGTTATCAAGAATGGGTATGCTCAAGAATTGTTTTTGGGGAATTACCTTATTCATTTGTATGTGAAAAATTGCGACATGGATGGTGCTCGTGACCTGTTCGACGAGATGCCTGACCGCAATCTGGTGAGCTGGTCTAGTTTGATCACAGGGTATGCTCAGAATGACATGCCCTATGAGGCGTGTGAGAGTCTTCAAAGTATGGTTCGCTCAGGATATGTTCCTAACCACTATACTTTTGGTAGTGCGTTAAGGGCTTGTCAGTCTTTAGGAGTTTCTGGTCTTAGGCTGGGGATGCAAATTCACGCTTTGTCTCTAAAGACACCATACTCATCTGATGTGGTTGTCTGTAATGTCTTGATTTCCATGTACAAGTTGTGTGGGGATCCAGGTAAGTATGCTTGGCATGTGTTTTGTAGCATTGAAGCCAAAAATACAGTGTCATGGAATTCTATTATTTCATTTTATTCTCAAAGAGGAGATTTTTTTGCTGCTTTCAATATTTTCTCCCATATGCAAAAAGATTTTAATTGTAAACCAAATGAAGGAACTTTTAGCAGCTTAATTACTGCTGTGCCTTCTCATGGTAACCATGGTTTGCTTTTGCTAGAACAGGTAATGGGAAGAATTGAAAAAAGTGGATTTTCAAAAGATTTGTATGTAAGTACTGCTTTGGTATGTAGTTTTGGAAGGTTGGGCTGTCTTGATGAGGCACTGAAGATTTTCAAACAGATGAGTGTAAGGAATGCAGTATCCATGAACGGCCTGATGGTTGGACTCATTCGCCTAAACCGAGGAGAAGACGCAGCTAGAGTTTTTGTTGAGATGAGAGACTCTGTGGATGTAAATTATTTCTCCTTAGTTGTTCTTTTGAGTGCTTTTCCCGAATTTTCTTTGTTTGTTGAAGGAAAGCGAAGAGGTAAAGAGTTACATGCATATGCTCTCAGAACCGGCTTGTGTGACTCAAAGATTGCCATTGGAAACGGCCTGATTAATATGTATGCCAAATGTGGTGCAGTCAAAGAGTCAATTTCTGCTTTTAACCTCATGCCTGACAAGGACTTAACATCTTGGAATTCTTTAATCTCTGCTCTTGACCGAAATGAACATTTTGTAGATGCAGTGTCGCATTTCAGAATGATGAGGAGTATCGGTATGATGCCTTCAAACTTTAATATGATAAGTGCTTTGAGTTCATGCGGGAGCCTGGATTGGACCAGAATGGGCAGTGCAATTCACTGTGAGACAATTAAATTGGGACTTCACTTGGATGTGTCTGTCTCTAATGCTCTCCTCGCATTGTATGCGGATGTTGGGCTTTTAAATGAATGCAAGAAGGTTTTCTCCTTTATGCCTGAACATGATGTTGTTTCTTGGAATTCCATTATCGGTGCATTCAATGATACTGAAGAATCTGTGTTCTATTCCATAGAATGTTTCATGGAAATGATGCATCATGGGTGGGGTCCTAACCAAGTAACTTTCATAAACATCCTTTCTGCAATATCATCCCTTTCTCTCATTGGTCTTGCTAGTCAAATCCATTCTCTGGCGCTAAAATACAATGCAATGGATGATGTGTCCATCGAAAATGCTTTTCTCACTTGTTATGGCAAGTGTGGTCAAATGGATGATTGTGAAAATATGTTTTCTAGAATGCCTGAATGGAGAAGAGATGATATGAGTTGGAACTCTATGATCTGTGGCTATATACACAATGAGCTCCTTTCGAAGGCCATGGATTTAATCTGGCTTATGTTGCATAACGGTCAGAGGTTAGACCGTTTCACCCTCTCTACCGTTCTAAGTGCGTGTGCCTCCGTGGCAACACTAGAGCGTGGCATGGAAGTTCACGCTTGTGGGACCCGAGCTTGTTTGGAGTTTGATGTTGTTGTTGGGAGCGCCCTAGTTGACATGTACGCCAAATGTGGCCGCATAGATTATGCTTCGAGATTTTTTGAATTAATGCCTGAAAGAAATGTGTATTCTTGGAATTCTATGATATCTAGTTATGCAAGACATGGACTTGGACACAAAGCGCTAGAGGTTTTTGAGAAAATGAAAGCAGAAGGTCAAATGCCCGATCATGTTACTTTTGTTGGTGTCTTGTCCGCTTGTAGCCACATAGGATTAGTTGAACAAGGAATTGACCATTTTGAGTCAATGACAAGTGTTTATCTTTTGACCCCACGGATTGAACATTTCTCTTGTGTGGTTGATCTCCTTGGGAGGGCTGGCGAGCTTGATAAGATGGAGGGATTTATTCAAAGAATGCCGATGAGGCCTAACACACTCATTTGGAGGACTGTTCTTGGGGCGTGCGGTCGAGCTAGCGGTCGTAAAAGAGATCTAGGTAGTCTAGAATAACAGATTACTACTTCGATTGATAGGACTTGCCCATTGCCTGTAGAGGGAAACAACTGACACTAACACTATGTTTGAGAATTTCCGTAGGGGGAATGTTATGTACAAAGGAAAACAAATTTTTACTTTGGGGTAAAATAAAAATGGAAATAAAAGCTATTATTTTTCTTAACTATTATTTGACTTGTTGATTATGTTGGGAAATAAAGTTATAGTTATATAAATTTATGATTTTAACTTGGGAAAGTTCCCTAAATAGAAGTAAACAGGTTTTGGAATTACATAATAGGACTGTTATGTTTTTCTTCTCCGAATAAGAGTAACATGAGAGTACCAGGCATTAACATGGCAATATTTACTGCCATTAGCATGACAATCATGGCAGTATTTTTCAATACCGGAAGTAACGGCTCCTATTTCTGGAAGAAAACATCGCAGTTCTGTTTTGGAATCCCGGAACGTTTTTACTTCTATTTAGGGCAATTTCCCCTTTAACTTCCATAAAAATGGAAAATGACTTTCCAGATTTTAAAAGTCTGTGAGTCAATTTTATGTTGAGTATTGCTTTTCCTCTTTTTATTGAATAATTTGGACTGAAGTTCTTTGGCATGATCTGAATTGATGTAGTTTGGTCTTGTGATGTGTTTTCATACTGTGTGAATATGTTAATCTTTATTGCTGGTTTGGTCTTTTAAAGTTTTGTTTGGCTTATTTAGTCTGATATTGTTTGGTCTGACTGAAAATAAGTTCAAGTGAATTGATTCTTCAAAATAAAGCTTTTCTTCTTTTGCATCCTTATTTTTACAATACCTGGGACAATATATTTCTCTCCTTATCATACCTCCGTGATTTTCATGGTTCTTCTCTTCCCAAAGACAGTGCAAGTGTAATGGGCTAGATCTGGGGTATCATTGCCGTTTGTTAACATATCATTTATGCTAATTGACAGGCAGGAAAGCAGCACAAATGCTTTTGGAATTGGAACCACAAAATGCAGTAAACTATGTGCTTCTTGCAAACATGCATGCCTCTGGCGGGAAGTGGGAAGACGTTGCAGATGCCCGGCGTGCCATGCAGGAAGCAGAAGCTAGGAAAGAAAAAGGGTGTAGTTGGGTCAGCATGAAAGACGGCATTCATATTTTTTTTGCCAGTGACAGATCGCATCCGGACACCGATGCAATTTATGAAAAGCTCAGGGACTTGCACAAAAAAATGAAGGCTGCAGGGTACGTGGCTCAGATAAAGTTTGCATTGTATGACCTTGATATGGAGAACAAGGAAGAACTGCTGAGCTACCATAGTGAGAGAATTGCCATTGCCTTTGTTCTCACTCGTAAAAAGTCACAACTGCCAATTAGGATAATGAAAAACCTCCGAGTTTGTGGAGACTGTCACTCTGCCTTCAAGTACATGTCACAGATTGTAGGCAGGGAAATAATACTTCGAGATTCAATCAGGTTTCATCATTTTGCTGATGGGATATGCTCTTGTAATGATTACTGGTGATTCATCCAGGGTTTCATCAAATTATTCTCTGCCGGCCTGAACTAGAAAGTGGCTCAACTATGCTCTGCTGGCCTTACAAGAAATGTCCTAAAGTTGACAGTTCTCACGGTTTGTGTAACTATGCATTCTTTCAGTTATTTAATGCTTATTTCTAGTATTATTATTGTCACTATTATTCTTATTCTTATTATACATAGTTCTCCTATTTTCAAATTTTACATTGTTTTTACTCCTATTTTGGAAATTTTCCCATAATATTATATTTATTGTTATACTTTGAAATGTACGAATTGCAATTGCATTTTCATATATCAACATGGTTGGTGTTGTTGACTGCAGGTGTTTTAACTGGGAACTGTTAGCAACTTGCTTCACTTATACTCATTGAAAACTAAAGAGTAGTCATGCATATGGTCTTTTGAGTACATGTGGATTGAGCAGGAATCTTTGAAACTGGCATGCGGATTTTGATATATATGTGTGTGTGACTATGTGTGCTTGATTGATGGATGAATTTACCACCATGATTAGAAGTGCTCTGGGGAAGTCTGCATGGGAAACTGTGTGGACCGGAATATGGAAGCATCCCTATCTGCTCTCTCAATAACAGCATTGTTATTCCTAAACTAGACTTGAAAGCCCTCTGTTCTGAAAAAACCGGCTATATCTCCCTGACTAGGCTCTTGTATGGCCTCCTATGCCTTTTTTATTTACCTGCCGCCATTCCCGCCTATGTTTCAACCGACCCTTTCCATTTCTTCCTCACGCACTTCATTACACCATAATCTGGTTAGTGCCGTTATAAACACTGCAGCTTGAGTCGCATGTGTCCATCCTCTTTCTATGACTATAGGCCCGTTTGGAATGGCAGGTTACTTGGCTTCTGGTAAATTCTTGTATATGTGTTTGTTTAGGATTATAAGAAAGTAGCGTTAACTAGTTTGGTTGAATATTATCTGATTCATGAAGAATCCTTGCAACACACAAGTTGTGACGTTAGCAGTGGATGAATCCATAAAGAATACCTCGAGTGTTAGTGATTGAAATCCATTGTTGGATTCATAGTTCAGATAATTGTATGATTGCTCAAGAAAAATAGACAAATCAATTGATAGGGTAAAGTGATTATGTGGTTTGTTGTATAGAAATTGTCCCAAATAAAAGTAAAACTAGGATAAAAAAAAATACGACTTATGTTTTTATTCCAAAAAAGGACCAAATTACTCCTATTTGGAATATATGTATTTTTTCATTCCACTCTTATCCCTCTTTTAAATATTAGTAAAAGGTAGTCAAAAGTCATAATTAAATAAAAAAAACAACGTAATTTTACTTACTTTAAACTACTCTAAGTTAAAATGATTACACAACCATTTCCATTCAGTCTCATCTGTGTCAACCATCTCTGGAAGAGGCAAAGTTAGTGCTTTTGCATGCGTTCCACTTCCACACGAAGTGGACTTAAATTAGCTATAGCTAATTTACGATTCTTATCATTATTCGCTCCTCCGGACAAATCTATGTCAAATAGTTTTTATATTACTATTTACGTGTATTAATCTGATAAAATTATATAAGAAGTAATTATGTTGAATGAAGATATTGTATATCATCCTTCTTTTCTTTTAGTTGCAAAATGGATAATTTTACACTACTCATGCTCAATTTTGATTATATTTTATTTATTAATGTATGAGAAATACGCTTTTAGAAAATATTGTAGTATTCGGCACATTAAAAATTTCATTATCTGATTTTTATTTTTTATTAATAGATAATTAAATATAATGATGGTCAAAGTTAGGCGTTGACAACCAGGAAAATGTGAATGTTGTTGATGGATAGTTTACCCGGGGGGTGTCTTATCCGAGGGATAGAGAGGAAAATACTAGAGAGAAGTCAGAACAAAAATAGAGAGAGAGTGTATTATTCTTATTGCTTTAGACTCGTAGAAGTCGTTTTTTTTTACAATGAGAACAAGGGCTGTTATTTATAGTAGCCATAAATGCTGGAGGTGTACACGTGTCAGCCATCCGACGGCTGAGGGTCAGCTCAATCGGGGTGGCAACGGCAGAGGAACGTGCTCCGCATTTAATGCGGTGGTTGGATGTGACGCCGCATTTAATGCGGAGGTTGCCTGTCCCAAGAGGAAGCTTCGTGGAGCTCCAGAACCAGCGGCCAGTTGCATGTGGCCGAGGGGTGTCGTGTAGCCGAGGGCATCAAGTGGGTGCCGAGGGCTCCTGGTAGCCGAGGGCTACCTTTTGAGCCGTTTTCTCCCAGAAGTCTCGTGAGCTTAATTCCGGGTGCCTAGAGTAATTTTGAGCCCTCGACCAAGGAGACCCGAGGGCAGCCCAGAGTGCGTTTTGGACTCTTCGCCCACTTGGACCGCCATATTTGGGCCCAGTGTGCTTCTTGGGCCCGTTGGGCCTTTGTAAGATATCAAGGAGTCTGTGGACCGGGGTTCGTGGGCCATATACTCCATCAGTTGTAACTATTAAAGAAGGGATAAAGTATATTTAAACAATAGTTTAATTTCCATCACTTATTTCCAATAAATGATATTAGAATTTAAAAAATCCACTTACAATAGTTTCACGTAGTCACATACCCATACGTCACCCAACCCTTCATCACGGGACATCATCTCCTTTGTGACCTTTCATTTTGCCGCTTCTCATGTATATATATTCCCTCATGTTGGAAGACTCACCACAAGAGGAAACATTTGAGGGGAAATACTATTCATGGAAGTATTTTACTTTTATACTACCCCGTTCTTAAATAAGTGCAACAGTCAATATTTCACATTTGTCGAGACACAACTTTGACCATTAATATATGTAACTCTCTATTAGTATAAAAATTAAAACAATCAGATTTTGAAAATTTCCAATGAGACAAATTTAGTAATATGTTTTTCAAAAATATATATTAATATATCAATAAATAAAATGTAGTCAAAGTAGAACATGCAAATAGTGTAAAATTTGTAATGTTACATTTATTTAAGAACTGAGGAAGTATAATAGATGAATGAAAATTTCCACCGTAAGATTAGTACAACTTCTAAGGGAGTGTTTGTGATTGGTGAAAGATGCGATTCTGTAAAAACGTTCAGTGATAAAAGATGTATTTATGAAAAAAGTGAGAGGAAGAGACGTGGGCATTTGCAAAGTGGACATGTGCAACAATTGGCAATTGCACAAGGCCCAAAAAGGTAAAGTACCACAGAGTTTATAAAAGTTGAATTCATTTTTCTTTTACAAGAAATTGTTAGTTTATAACAAGGATTTAAAAAAAAAAGTGTTGGTGTGTCTAAAATGAAGTAACATAGTTGCATCTACTCTTAGGCTATTCACAATCCGTTTCGTCAATAAATCAAATCCCTCATTTTTTGCTGGGTCGATTCAACTTTTTGCAGCAATCCAGCACTATTAATTAATATGTTCACCAGCCAAAGTTTTTACCTAATTAAAGCTTTTATTTTATTATTATACATTTTATTTGCCAATTTTTTACAGCTAATTATGAGCAAACATTATGATGTAAAAATAAATAAATTTGGGGTTTAATTTTATTGATGTTAATTTAAACCTAGCTTTGAAAAAAATTGAAAGATGTAAAGAAAAAATTAATCATGAGATCTTAACAAAAAATTTGAACCTAAAAAATCTCGAGTAAATGAAACATTATTTTGTTTTTAATTTTATACACACAATACCGGTGTTATATGAAATATCATAAAATTGTTAATTTTGATATATTTTTTGAGAAAATCAGAACATATATGAATAAAAAAAGTTATACTCCCTCTACCCCAATTTGATGGTCCTGTATTTCCTTTCTGGGCCGTCCCAAATTGATAATCCCATTTCCCTTTTTGGAAAGAAATATGTGGTCCACATCATTTCAGCTTTTTCTATTCAAATTTCAACCACAACTTTTACCTTTTTAACCACTTTCTTAATCTTTGAACCCAAAAGAAAAAAAAATGTTTGAAAATTAATGAGACACATTGAATAATTAATGTAGAATGTTTTTTTTTTTTTTGAAAATGCAGGTGTCGGTGCTTGCGCTCCCCTAATCCTGGAGACTATTGACTACCCTCCAAAACATTCTAGACAAGTAAATCCGGATATGATCACAGTAAATCCAGAAGGGTCCTCCCACCACGCGAACCCGAGCCTGAATTTCCATCCCCTCCCTTCTTAAGGGTTGAGCAACTCCGTGAAGGTAGGAAGAATCATTGGGAGCAAGACCCCCCTCCTCTCCCCTAATGTGTCTAGGGGGGATCGAACCCGAGACCTTAGCTAGACACGGTAACCTTGCTTCCAGTGGACTTGAAAGCTCGGTTTTGTTTTATTTTTATATCCTTTCGTTTTAGTTTCTGATTAGGAGAAAAATTAATCTATTTCATAGGGAAAGTATAGTAGAAGTAATTTTTTTGGGTAAATAGTAGAACTAAATGAGTAGAAGACTAAAAGTTTTTGCTTTTAATATATTTAATTTTCTAGGTCTGTGCATTAGAATTTCATTTCCTTGTTAAAATCATAATAATAGTTGTATCAAGCTAACCCATATTTTTAGCCTATTTAATCACTAAATCACTAATCAAGTCTTCTTGTTCTCTTCGTCATCGTCGTTTGTCGTCCAAGATCATTAAAAACATTTAAAAGCAAGTTTGTATATTTACACCACGCTGTTTGAGGGATATTGAACTTTCTTGTTTATAAGTCATTTTCAGAAAAATCTTCTCCTTAATAGCACTACAACACCTAAAACCAAGTTCCCGCTCACTGGAACTTTTCATCGCATCCGTTCGATTCAATAAGTTAAATCGACGACTTCTGCGCCTCCTATTCTCTCTGGACCCTTTCCTTCTTTTCTTCTTTCCTTTCCTTCGTTCTTCTTCCCTTAATAATTCTATCATTGACAGAATATTAGCAAACACTGCACCTTCCTCATTTGGTGTTATCGGACCAAAAATTGCTCCAAAAAAGGAGATACTTATCTCCCCAAATTTGCCTGAAGTCATCCGATAAAGGAGATGGTTATTCATCTAGCCGAAATCATGTACCTAGAGTCATCTGCCTCGAGAGATCATCTGAAAAGAAATCATCCGAAAAAGGTGACGTTGCTTCCTTCTAAGTTCTTCTGCCGAAAGATTCAAACGGAGTTTGAGGTAAACTATTCTTCCTAATCATATAATCCATCTTTTATTTTAAACTGATTTCCAATTTGTTAGTTTTTTATTATTTAAAAACGTTGTTACAACATCATAAGGAAGGTGTTTGCTTATATTCCTCAATCAATTATCTTTTTCTATAATTATATTTCACATCCTTGATATTACATATTGACATTAGGTAATATATAATTGGTGTTTCATACTTTTTCTTTGGTGAAATTATTAGGTAAAGGTAATATCAAGTTATTTTGCAAAACCCAGACAATTACTCCTCTGGTTAATCTGCAATTAACGCCCCCCAGTGAGTAAAGCAAATAAGCATTGCTATATCTTTAGGGTAAATGTCCTGACATCCTCTCTGCCAAGGTCTATTTTTCTTCTTTCTTCCATTATTCATATTTCTTTTATGTGTCAGTGACACCATTTTCAGTTTTAGTTTTCTGTAACTGGTTAATTGACTCTTCCTAATTCACTTTAACATAACTATTCTTTAGTGAGTAATCTAACCATGTTTGTTTCAGATTTAATGTATAGTTCCTTTTGTTGTGTCTACCATCTACAATATCATTTTGCTTCATTTAAATTAGACTTTAGAATAGACTACTTTGACTTGCTTATGTTTTTCATTTTCTTAGAAACACAAAGTTGTGACTAGCTTTATTTAGACAAACTAAATTGGCTTTATATATGTAATATTAAAGTTTATTTTTTCAGTGTGCCCTTAGCTTTTCACCAGGCAATTAACTGTTCATCCACATCAGTGTTTCATTTTTTGTTCTTCTTGCATAATCTTCTCATGCTTTTCATGCATCCATCTTTATTCTTTGGTTCTTAATTTCATTCATCATAACCTATGCTTTGTTATATCCATTCTTTCAATTTTCCGATTTGATACATTTGAAATATCTCAGACTAATATTTAGTGATATGAGGTACTCAAAACATTGTACTAACTTAGATTATAGAATTAATTGATTCAATCTTGACAATTTATTGATTTCAACTCAATCTAGGTGTAGGCA